TTTAATGGTTCTTTGTTCCAGCTTTTACCGTACACTTCATCTCCCGGGGGGATGTCATGAACTGGACTCTCAAGAGTCAGCGGCCTGTTCCACACAAGGGTGCTCCAAAGCCGAGCTCGAGCTTTTCCAAGAGACAGAACATAATTCTACACCTCTTGCTTCCCTGTAACATGTACATTTGGATTAGGTTCAGGGCATTCATATGGTTTCCCATCCAATATCTCATAAGGACTGACTGACATCCCACTTCTAGGCTTTATCTGAATCCTAAGCAGTGCTATTGGTAAAGCTTGTGGCTACTGCAATTTAGCCTCTTGGCATCTTTTGCTGATTTGCCTCTTCAATGTCTGATTCATCCTCTCTACCTGTCCACTGGATTGGGGTCTCCATGGTGTATGTAGATGCCAAGCTATTCCCAGTAACCTACTCACCTCCCTCACTACTGTGGCTGTGAAATGTGGGCCCCTATCTGATGATATTCCTAGAGGCACCCCAAATCTTGGAATGATTTCTTGCAGTAACCACTTGACTGTCTCCTTTGCTTGATTTGTGTGACAGGGAAGAGCTTCTGGCCATCCTGAAAATGTGTCAACCCCTACCAATAGATATTTGTATCCTTGAGTTCTTGGTAATTCTACAAAATCTACTTGCCAATAATCTCCTGGTTCTACTCCTACCAAATTTTCCCTAATTGTGCCTGTAATCTAGCCACTGGATTGTTCTTTAAGCAAATTTCACATTTTGACATTACTGATTTTGCCATTGTTAACATCCGTACTGAAATTAAATTTTGTTTTAACAATTTCACCACTGCCTCTGCACTCCAATGGCATTTGTTATGTTTAATTTGTAGAAGTTCTCTCATTATCAAGGGGGGTACCACTACTTGTCCCTGTGTAGTCACATACCACCCTTCTGAATTCTTCTGTGCATTCAGTGAGCGTCCCAATTTCTCATCCTCTATTGAATATCTTGGTTCTGGAGGTAAATTGAATTGAGATACATTAGTGTTTAAAGGTATCAATGCCATTGCAGTTTGCACTTCTCGAGCAGCTTGTCGGGCTGTCCAGTCTGCTTTCCGATTTCCCTCATGAATTTTGGAGCTTCCTGATTGGTGAGCTTTACAGTGCATGATTGCTACTTGCTCGGGCTTTTGTACTGCTTTTATTAATTGCAGGACTGCATCTTGATGTGTGTGCCTTGAGGAGACAGCAGTCCTCTTTCTTTCCCCGGTACCCCATGTACATGCACCACTCCAAAAGCATGTTTTGAATCAGTCCAGATATTTACTTTGTTCCCTTCACTCATCTCTAATGCCCTGGTTAAAGCAACCAGTTCTGCTCGTTGGGCAGATGTGTTTGCTGGTTAGGAGCAAAGCTGGATTCAAAAGGTTTAGCTGTCTTTAATGTGACATCATCCTGTTTGGTTAGGATTGCCTGGAATTTCATCATCCTGCTTGGAGATAGCCATTGGCCCCCCTTTTGTTCTAAGACAGTGGTCACCGTGTGTGGCACATGGACATCTATGTCTCTACCCATCGTGAGTTTCCTGGCTTCTTGGATCAGCATCACAGTGGCTGCAGCTGCCCGCAGGCATGAAGGCCATCCAGCACTCACGTTGTCAAGTTGTTTGGAAAAGCAGCCTACCAGCCTTTTCCAGCTTCCCAAACCTTGGGTCAGCACTCCCAGTGCTAGGTGTAGTCTTTCATGCACAAACAGCTGAAAATCTTTGGATAGGTCAGACAGTCCTAATGCTGGAGCTGTTGTCAATGCCTCCTTCAGTTTGAGGAAGGCCTCCTTCTGTGGTCTGCCCCAGGTAAGCGGTTGTGTCTTCTGGGCTTCATACAGGGGTTTTGCAATTAGTCCATAGTCCATGATCCACAGCCACACCGCTCTGTCATCCTGAGGAAAACTCGTAGCTCATGTAGGTTCTGGGGTTCTGGAATAGCACAAATAGCTTGAATACGGTTAGTACCCAGCTTACATTGCCCTTGTGAGATTTCACATCCCAGGTAAATCACAGTCTGTTGGGCAATTTGTGCCTTTTCTTTAGACACCTTATATCCTCCCATTCCTAGTTGATATAAAATTTCAATTGTTACCTTTATGCAGGTTGTTTTCTCTTTGTAGTTGTCAGTATATCATCAACATACTGTAACAGCAGGTATTGTTCTCATGGTACTTGCCCATTCTCGTTCCAAATCTCCAGCTCCTTCGCCAGCTGGCTTCCAAATAGGGTTGGACTGTTCTTGTATCCTTGTGGGAGTCGTGTTCAGGTGAGCTGAGTTTTCCTTCCATTGTCTGGATTTTCCCATTCAAAGGTAAACAGTTTCCTACTTTCTTTGTCAAGGGCTATGCAGAAAAAGTCATCTTTTGAATCAATTACAGTAAACCATTTCTATTTCTCTTTCACAGATGTCAACAATGTGTAGGGATTAGCTACCACTGGGTAAATATCTTTAGTTATTCCATTTATTGCTCTCAAATCCTGTACTAGTCTGTACTCACCATTTGGTTTCTTCACTGGAAATATTGGTGTATTCACTTCTGATTCACATTCTTCTAAAATTTGGTAATTCAAAAATTTATCAATAGTCTTTACTATTCCTTGCTATGCTTCCGGCTTTATGGGATACTGTTTAACCTGTACAGCTTTTGCTCCTTCTTTTCATTCTACATATACTGGTTGTGCCAACTTAGATTTTCCTGGTATGTCTGTTTCCCATAGAGAGGGAATTACTGCATCCTCTACTTCCCGAGGGATAGCAGGGTCTGGCTTTTCTTTTATCATTAAGATTTGTCCTGTCTTTGATTCAGGTATTTTCATTAAAAGCTCCCCGTTTTCAAAAGTTATCACTGCATCAAGTTTTGCTAATAAATCTCATCCTCAAAGTGGAATTGGACACTCAGGCATATATAAAAATTCATGTGTTAACACTTTGTTTCCAAAACACAAATCCAGGGGTTGCAGGAATGGTCGATTCTCCTCCTTCCCTGTGGCTCCAACTATTGTTGCTGTTTTGTCTCCAGCTTGCCCTTTTAGATCATTTAGCACAGAATATGTAGCCCCCGTATCCACCAGAAATTTTACTTCTTTATCTCCCAATTGTATAGTTACTAAAGGTTCTTGTGTTGGTTTTTGTTCCGATTCTAGTCAGCTGCTGTACTCCCCCAGCACCATTAATTTGGAAGCATCTTGATTCTGCTTGAACTGATTGCCCTGGTTAAACCAATTTGGGCATTCATTTTTCCAGTGCCCTCTTGTCTACAAGAAGCACATTGATTTAACCCCAATCTTGGCAAAACCCATCCCCCTCGTCCTCTGCCAAGTCCGCCCCTCCCCAGTCCACGATCACCTCTGCCGCATCCTCAGAAACCTGGATTCTCTCTTCCTTGGACCACTGCCAAAAGATTTTGCTGCTGCTTTTTACTAGCTTCCTTTTCCCTGTTATTGTATACTTTCCAAGCCACTTCAAGTAATTGATTCAAATTCCTTGAACCTTTTCCTTCTAACTTCTGCAATTTTCTCCTAATATCATCCTGCGACTGCCCAAGAAAAATGAACACAAGCTGAACATTCGCTTGTTCTGTTTCTAGTTGAAGATCTGTATACTTTCTTGCTGCCTCCTTAAGCCTTTCCAAAAATGCAGCAGGGGATTCTTTCTTTTCCTGTCTTATCTCATACAATTTAGACCAATTCATAGCCTTAGGTACAGCATTCCCAACCCCTGTCTGGAGCCACTCTTGATATCTCTTCAGCCTCCGCATGTCCCCAAAGGCATTGGGATCCCACCCTGGATCCTCGGTTGGAAAGTTCTCATCTAAAGTCGCCGTCAGCACCCCAGTTCTGAGATCTTCTCTCACCTTCTCCTTGGCTGCTCTAAGCACCATCTCTTTCTCAGTAGAGTCCATTAAATTATCCACTATTACTTGTATATCATGCCAATCTGGATTCTGAGTTTTCATAATCATTTTTACCACCCCTGCTACTTTATCAGGATTTTCTCTCTAAGTTCCAGCTGATTGTTTCCAAATTATCAAGTCTGCGGGTGAAAAAGGAACTTCCACAAACACCGGCCCTTCTACTGCTACTCCTTGTCTCAAGGGGGCAATCACAGTCCGCCTTTGTCTGCCCAAATCTTTTCCCGTTCTACCCAGAACTGGAGCAAGCTGTGACCGAGTCCGATGGGATACCGGTGTCGCTGATTTATTATCATCACCCCTGCTACTGCTATCTTCCTCCCCAGCATTTTTCACATTTCCTTGTATCACGGTTAGATTTGGATCATTTCCTGGAGAAGAAGGATCAGGTGAAGGCGGTAGAGGAGGATAAAGAGGGCAAGGTGAAGTGGGATTAGGCGAGATAGGGTTAGGTGAAATAGGATTGGGTGAAGTGGGGGCAGACAAAACAAAATCGGGTTCTTTTGGTTCTGCTGAAACCACTTGTAAATCAACATCCATCTCTTTCCCCTGACACAAACTTTCTTTTAATGCCAGGTGCTCTAAACAACTTTTTCCTTTTACACAAAGCTCACATTTATCACTCACACGTGCCTTAACTGCCATCAATGCACACTCAGCCTGCCATTCTGGCTTGTCTCACAAATAGAAAAACAAATCAACGTACAGAACTTCATCCCACTTTCCCTCGGGCTTACAGAACAACATCAACTGTAAAATGGTGTTCTACTGCAAAAATCCATTTCTCGGCCACTTTTCCCCACTGTCCAGGTCATATCCTGGCCACCATGTATTACAATAATCAATCAACTTTACGTAAATGTTGCCCAAAGTTTCCCTGTTTCCAGTGTGCTAATAAGCACCCCAAAGGAGAAGTAGGTGGTACAGGGGTATTGCCACCTCAAATCCCTTTAAGCTTCTCCATGTTACAGTTACAATACACCACACACCACTGCTGCCCAACCTGCAACGCTTTCGCACTTGTCTGACAGACGGCGCCTGGGCAATACCAGGAATTCCTCTAGCCCAACCTGTGCGAAGCTTTGGCTGCGTCTTATCGGCAGGCACCAGAGCAGACCGAAAAGCACCTCACCTCTCTCAGAGGGACGTTGTGAGCGGTGGAGACGGTCACAGCTGGATGGGCTTCCCGAGAATCCCTCGGTGCTGGCTGGAGCATGACCGGGTCGTGAGCTCGCTCAGCAGCACTCACAGCGTCCCATCTGGGTCACCAAAATGTTAGCGTTCAGGAATACACATAATCACAGATTGATTATATGCAGGTGCTTTATTGAAGTGCGTGGGCACTAGGTGCATCAGCAACCCAAATCTACCTCCATCGTCTTTGTCCAAAGTGCACATATTTCTACAATTTCAGCTGTAGCAGTAATCACTATAAAAACCTTATCAATATTGCTTCATTAATAAATCTTCATTAGCTTTATCTGTATTGATTCATGAGAGTTAGCTCATCCTTGTATGAACATGTCCGAATCTTATCTCTGGGTGGGTATCTTGGAGACCCCAAGTACCAGCTCCCTTTACCATAAACATTTCAGCTTGCTAGACCATCCCTAATACCAAGCATTCTTGTGGCCTACCTCTACATGATTTTAAGAAACATTTTCAGAAACATTTAACCCCATAGTAACATTTTGTTGTTTGGAGGATTTTTGGGCTGAATCTTTGTGTGTAGGAGGTTCTTACAGACACAAGATGCCCAATGACTTCCTGAGATGAACTTGGTCAAGGAGGAACCCCCAGCCCAATGAGCTCTCCTTTTGTTTTTTCCCCCAAAACCAGGATTTTTCATTCCCAAGGTGTGGCCAGATGGAGGAGGAGGAAAAGCCCTGGAGATGCCGTACAAGGAGGGGCTGCAAACCCAGTCCAGGGAGTTGCGAGGAGGAAAGATCCCCCCAGTGCCAGGAACATGGCCAGAGATCTAGCCGGAGCTCAGAGCTGGGGGAGAAGCCCCACAAGTGCTTGGAATGTGGGAAGGGATTCAGGTGGAGCTCTGACCTGCTCCGGCACCAGAGGATCCACACTGGTGAAAAGCCCTACGAGTGTGGGGAATGTGGGATGACCTTCAGAGACATCTCTGGCCTCATGCAGCACCAAGTGACCCACACTGGGGAAAAGCCCTACGAGTGTGGGGAATGTGGGAAGAGCTTCAGCCAGAGCTCCAACCTGAGGAATCACCAGAGGAACCACACAGGGGAATGGCCCTACGCCTGCTTGGAATGTGGGAAGAGCTTTGGATGGAGGTCTGACCTGAGAAAACACCAGCTCATCCACACTGGGGAGAGGCCCTATGAGTGTCCTGAGTGTGGGAAGAGGTTTCAGCGCAGCTCCACTCTCATCAGACATGAGCGGATTCACACAGACGAGAGGCCCTTCCGCTGCCCCGACTGCGGGAAGAGCTTCAACCGCAACTCCACCCTTGTCAGGCACCGGCGCATCCACAGTGGGGAGAGGCCCTACGAGTGTCCCCAGTGTGGGAAGAGCTTCTCACAGAGCTCTCACGTGACCCAACACCAAAGGAGTCACCAGTGAGGGAAGCCCTGTGAATGCCCCGAGTGCGGGAAGAGCTTCGTGCGCTGCTCCAACTCCATCCCCCATGGGAGGATCGGCATTGGATGATCCCCAGTGACCCCCGTTGGGCAGAGCCCTGGTGATCCGTGTTGGGAAGACATCTGGCTGGGAGGCTGCACATCTTCCTGGCTCCCTGTGGGCACCTGGATGAAATCAGGGGAATGAAAATCCATCAGGACACAAACCAATAATAAGAATTCCTTTGGGAGAGCAGCTTTGTTGACTTTCAATCCCAGAAAACTGTTTGTTAAAGCTAACAGATTCACAAGCCGTATTTGTTACACTTCAACATCTTCCCAACACCTCTCCTTCCTTTTCTGGGAATTCAACACTAACTTATTGTCAATAAATTCTGCAAGTGCTCTTGCTGCGTAAAGCCACATTCTGTCTTTCATTCAGCAATTCATGAAGAAAACACAAATTGCCTACTGAGACCCTTCTGTTCCCTCCCAAATCACTACTCAAGAACAAGCCTCAGGCACATGCCCATAGTCCCTCTCTGCCAGCAGCTCCGAGCTGCATTGCACAGTGCTTGCTGTGCCCCAGAGAGCACCAAGCAGGCTGGCCTGGTGCCCCTGAATATTTCTGCAAAACCCTCTGCATTTCACACCTTTGCTGTGGCTCAGTGCAGAGCTCCAGGATTGCAGGTGCTTGGTCCCAGAGCTGTGTGAGGCAGTGGCTCGTGCAGATGTGCCCTGACTTGCTGTCACTGCCTCACGCTGGCCTCGGTTCCCCTGGCAGAAATGCCGTGCCTGAAGGACACTGCCTATGGATGCTAAATCTGAGCCACAGTGCCTGTACAATTGCAGGCCGCATGGCTCCTCAGGCTGCCTGAGAAAATAGCCTGGGAAAAACATGAGAAGGAATTAAAACAATTCTCAGAGATACTAAACAGCCTTGCAGGTGTTGTTTTGCAACCTGTTGTTTCTCCTTGCAAGAGAAAGTCAGGGGGAGCAAAGTGCCCCTGACCAATGATAGTGGTGTAGTACTTTGTTAACCAATAAGAGTTTCCTTTCTGTACTTTCCACGTATCTGTCTATAAGACAGAGCTGAAGCAATAAACTAGGAATTCTCCTGTTGTGACTCCCTTGAGAGTCCATTGTCGTTCTTTCTAGCCATTCCCAATCGGAGCGACATCTGGTGACCGCCCGACGTGTGGTGCAGCCGACCCCTGAGGTCAGAAGGTGACCGACGTGACTTCTGCTAATCCCCTGAGGGTAAGCAGCGAGCGGGAAAAAGCCAGCCCTTCCCCCTAGAGGTGTAAGTGGAATTCTCCCGGGCTTTCCAAGTGGAAGCTGGTTTTGGAAACCAACGGGATAGTGGAGCCTGCCGGTGAGTGGGTTTAGAACGGCCGTCTTGGCGAAGCAGAGCTCAAAATCCCTGGGTCCGAGCCGTTAGCGTGTGCGTGACTGCATTCGCAGAGCCGCCAAGATAAAGTCCTCATAATGAAGGACTGCACTTCAGCTGATGAACAGCTGGCCTACCTTGCATGGCAGGATGCCCTGCCCCGCATGGGACTCAGTGTTTCTGAAGATGCCATGCGTGCTTTATTTCAGTGGGTGAAAGAGCAAGGTTTTGTTATAACTATGGACAATGCCTTTGATCTCAAGACTTGGTTGTCGATAGGAGACTATTTATGGTCAGAATTGACTAATGGAGATACCAGCGTGGGTAGCCTAGCAGCCACCTGGGGAGTGCTTTTTAAAGCGCTGAAACGGAGCCAGTCTGAGGACAGTGAAACCGTGGATGAGCTGCATAGTGCTCCTTTAGCTCTGCCCAGACCCTCGGAGGACTTTAGCGGCGAGCGAGAGCAACCCGCAGCCCAGAGATCTCCCTCTCCAGAGAGGTTTGAGCGGCTGCCATCCGCGGAGCTGGGCGCGCGGGCTTTGCCAATGGGAGACTGCCCGCCTCCGCCTGTGCCACCCGCAGAGCCTCCGCCGGCGCCAAAAGTGCCACCGCCGGCCGCCGCAGAACCCCCTTTCTCCAGCGCCTCCGCGCTGTCCGAGCTTCTTCCTTCTGTGCCGCGAACAAAAGCGCAGACATCCCCGCTGCGGCCCGTCAGCGCGGCGGGAGAGGGGGAGAGAGTCGGCGCCCAACT